CATGGTATTGCTCATGTTTATAGGCGACGATTACCACTTTACATCAGGTGGGCCGTCAGCTTGTTTGCCATTCTAAGTTGTATAAAAATAAAAAAGGTACTGTGAACAAATTCATTTTGCTCCGTAAAATAATAAATAGCAATTTCAATCACAATAAATTACAGGTAGTCGAGATGTTTCATTAGTCATATTAGATTAAAATTATTTGAATTTAGAATACGAAATCGCGTGTGTTTAAATATATATTATATATAGTTAGACTAGTTTCTTGACCTTCTGAATGTCATGGTGGTAAGTTTATCGAACCACGCCACGATGTCCCAGCCAACTGACCTGACTTTATCCACATCATTTCATTATCTATTGGTGAACATCATTAGCATAGGAGAGTATACTATTCCATCAAAAATTCTCCCATAACAGTAAGTAAATGTATTCGTGTCGTATCTAATAGGCGTAGGGGAACCATTTATTGGATGCAAACATTGTAATTAACTCGTTGCGGATAAACGAAAGGGGTACGATGTTGTGTGTAGGTATTATATTTTATATATATACTAGTTGACCCGGAAAACTTTGTATCACATACAACGCCATCTATTAAAAATATTTTGAAGTAACAGTTTACATACAAAATACGCAAGCAGAAGATTAAACGAATAGACGATCCAATTTATTAAGAAGATCTTCATTAAGATCAGGATAACATGCATCAGCGTAATCAATAATGGGGAGAATAAGTGTCTGAACAAGTGTAATTTCAGTTTTAACTGGAAAGATGTCCTTAAAACCATTAATGTATTGAAGTGTGGCTATAATAGAACGACTAATCTAAGCTATTGGTTTGGCCCAGCTCAATGTCGAACCAATATAAAGGCTAAGATTTTTTCGATCGTACAGTAAGTAATTATCGAATTATTGTACGTTACAAGAAGAAAGAGTCATAATCGATTTTTACCAACTGTTTTGAGCTACTTACAATTATTGCTTGACACTTGCTTAGGTTTACCGGGATGGCGAGTTTATGGGGCCAAACATAGATTTTCTGTAGTTCATTATTCAGCCGTGTAATAGCTGAAATAATATCTTCGACAGACGACTACACATACATTTGTAAATAATCTGCATCTTTAGATGGTTAAAACAACTAATTATCATGGAAAGAAGAATAATTAATATAGAAAATATTAAAGGGACAAGATGCTACCTTGCGGAACACCTGATGAAAGGTATTTCCAATCAGACTACTCGCGGTTTATACGTAGAGGTTCTTGTCGTCCACAAAGGTAAGACGTGAATCGGTTTTTTTATGCAACTTAGAATGACAAACAAGCTGCTGACCACCTGATGGAAAGTGGTAACCGTCACTTATAGACATGAGCAGTACCATGGACATAACAGAGTATACTGTTTCGCCCATGATACCCCCCATGCGTTGCCATTCCTGAGGACTCAGGTTATTCTTATATACCCTGTAAATTCACTGACCTAGTATTACAAAAACCTGTAAAACATAATGACTGTATACATAATACGGCTACAATAGGTGTAGTATGTATATACGAATACTATATTTATAAATATACGAAAAAAAAAACAAAGAGTAACTTTTTATATTTCGCCTGAAGCTATTTTGCAAGCGACATTGACATTAACCGCACTCGGACAAGACAACCCAATTATATATATTTATTTGTTCAACCGATTACCCACTCAACATCAATATAAGCTTTAAATCCTTCGAATTGTGGTATTAATTTCCCTCCAACACTTCTTACTTTTAAGTAACTTTCATAACTTTTTCATTTGTAGGAAAAACACCTTTAAAGTTTTGTAGGAGACAATCTATTTTACTTTATCACAAATTCGATCTACAATATATTTGCGCTGCTAATCAAAATTACACTTTGTGTGTAATGGTTAAAGTTCAATTTTTACTAACGATGTATGAATAGGGTGAATGCTACTATCGCGGACCACATGCACGTCACGTGCGCGACACGCGCCATCTACGATAATCTCCTTTACCGGACTCCTTTGTTACAATTTGTTGCTGATATATTCGCTCTGCCGGGCCCCGTGAGATCCAAATCTCAGATATGATCCGTAATGATATTTTAAATCAGTGTTCTCAACAAGCTATTTATTGCCTGTGCTGTATTGACTGTGTATAGATAAGGATTTATATCTGGCTGATATTGAATTGTGCGGAATACATTTAAAAAACGTTATTAAAATTGTATAAAAAATATTTGATTTGTAAGTATGGTATTAAATATGATGCTTAATACGTTTGCATGGTTTGTCTTCATTGTAAAATACATTATTTCAATACTACAGACAGCTCAATTTTATTTTTATCATAGAACTTTGAATATCGCGTGTAAAATCAGATGAAGAAACAAACTATATAAACTGTTTGTAAAATATGTTATTTATTGTAAATATATAAAAAAAAAAATACAATTTAATTCAAAATTATAACATACTCGTGGATTAAAAATTGTATCTGACGTTCAAGTCTCGGCTGATTTTCATGGAATCTGTTAAAGCCGCACTCAAACTATAGATAAAACTTTAATCATATTTATAGATATTATATAGATATAAAGAGGTCATAATTTGAACTTGGATGAAAAACAAAAGCAATTTAGGGCAATTTTTGTTTGTATTTCCTATGACGTAGATCAAATATCTCAGAGCCGATCTCGTCGAAGTCAATGTGATATCACTGCCACAAAAATGCAATACGCCTGTCACTAAGTGACAAGAAAATATAGCGATACAATGAAATAAAGTTGTCATCCCCAGCCGAGGGCCGGGGAGCGTGCTAAATGCATTAATTTGGCCTGGATTTAGTGGCCCGGAAGTGATTTGCAACGGGAACGCATGTTCTCTCCGACATGACCCTGTGACAACTATTGACCCTCTTACCACACATTAATTACCAATAACTAAAATTGAACTTTATCGTTGCAATTGTAGAATATCATTTTGGATGGCATGAAAAAAACGTTTAGGGTATGAATAGCTAACAGGGTACACTCTCGTTACTAGTTTTTAGTTAAGGGTCTTTACTGTAAAGGCTTAACGACTGTTTTTTACGCTCTCGTTTGTCGTTAATCTACCATAGATATATTAAGTAGGGTCGTGTTGAAATTTTCTATTAATATTTTATATGACTGATAGCTTATAATTATTTCTATTACAATTTATTTCTAAATGCAATTAATTGAGTTTGAAAATAAATTAAAAATTTATAACATTTACGCCTCGTATGTAGAAAATGTATTTTGTTATGTGGTAAATTTCCACTCATCAGACTTAATGAAATACGACACGAGTTCAACGTGTATAAGGCCCCTAAATGTTAATATATTCAATATCCAAGCATCCTTAAGACAATATACCTATGAAAACACCCAATATAACCGACATTCGATAGACGTTCACATCAAACGCTGCTCTCGTACCTATCACAGCTCTCTACCTATCTGTTTATATAATATAACCTCCCTCAGAGGTTGCCTCACTGATAACTTAAAGACTTTATCCCCTGTACAGGAATTTTTACGGTAACAAAAGCCCTCATATTTTCTTTATTCATACCGTGTCAAAATCGCCCTCTCTCCCCCTTTAAACGGTGGAAAAAGAGACATCCATCCAACTCTTTCGTTCTCATTAATGACGCCATATAGCTGTCTCGTTTCGAGATTTTCCCTCTGTTTCGGTTTTATGTTTTTCTCGATATTCTTGACGGCGAGTACTTAATGTGCTGCTTTTTTCACGAAAAACGTCACCAACAGGGTGATGGTGCGTATTTCTTAATTAATTTATGTTAAGTATTCGAAAGGGAGATATTTTACGTGAAAGGGTGTTTAAGAGTCTCCTTTGAGTACAAGCCATAAAACGATCGCGTAATTTTTGTAGACTCATTGTGTTATGATCGAAATCCTCCGCTACGTTAACTTTTATGGTGTTTCCATTGGGTTATACTCGTAATTTGGTTTATTGCTATTATTTTTATTTTTTTGGAAATGCGAAGGTTTTTATTTTGTTCATTTTTGGTTTTATAAGAATAATAAATATAGTATTATAGATATACTCTAATTTGAATTTGAAGAGAATTTGAAAAGAATCTAAGGGCCAGATACTTTTTAAAAGAAATAATAGTAAAAAATAACGAGCGAAGCAACAGCTGTATATAAGGCTAGAGGACTCTAAAAATTAGACAAAAGAAATTCGTGTGAATTCAAAGTAAAACAGGTCGGACACGGAGGCGCGCCGACATTATTATAAAAGCATCAACCTATATATCTGAAGACGTATCGACGTCTAAAGGATGTCCCAGAAGGGAGCGGCCCCGTATTCAAAAAGGGGAAAAAATGAAGAAAAAAGTTATAACGTCATATTGTTTTGCCACGAAGTGCCGGGGGAGGGGCGAGGGGGGGACAGAAAGGGGACTCCTGTATAGTGCGGGGGTAAGATAAGGCGTTATAGCATCCTATAGACGCATATTTGCTATATAGATGCACAAAACCATTGTGTTTCAAGGTTCGCCCTTTCATGATTTCATACTTTTCAAAGGCGTTTCGAAACGCAGTTTTTCTATTTAGCGCTGATTTGGGGAAAATATTTTTACGTTGTTTTCTTTTTATACAGTTTTTAATTTTATTTTTATGTGACACCATTTAACGAGGTCCTTTTGCATATAAACTTATATGGATAAAAGCGCGAACAGCATGTATATAAAGAAGCTTGTTCAATTATATAAATTATACCTGAATCAAAATAGTACCTTTGATCAGTTCATGTATTTAATTTACATTAGTTGGTTGTTGGTTGGTTGGTTGGTTGACTGGGAGAGAATGCTTTTAGCATTAAGTCCGCCATGTACACATATTTGTACAAAGAATAAATAAATAAATTAGTATTAGTATAAATGATACCTTTATATATTTACTCAATTATTATAAAAATAATTTATAAAATGTACTCACACTAGGTATATTGTCGGAAGTGCAGACTCCTTCGCTGAGCAGGCGATCCCTGATCTCCCACGCGAAGATAGAAGGGCACTCGCGTTTGTATTGAGCTATCTTGCTGACCACCTCCGCCGTCGCCACGCGAGGCTTGGAGCCACCGATGGCACGGGGCCTTATGGACCCTGTCTCGTAATACCTATGGGATACGGACAATTGGAAATTAATGAGAAATATATATAAAGAAAACTTATATATATGCAGGTTTTTCTCGTACTGATTACGGGGTTCGTTAAGAAAGGCGTATTAGGTAAGGTCTCTTTAAGTCGGCAACGCTTATGGAGTTTCAGGTACTTATAGGTTACAGTAACAGGCTACTATCAGATGGGCTTTATGCTTTACGTTTGTCTTCTTTATGGTGTATAAAAAAAATCTCTGAAGACTGTGATAATCATGAGTATGATACTGTCTACGCTTTTACCATTTTATATTTTCATTAGGTACGCCTTCGGTTTGTCATTTTATGTTGCATAAAAATATAACAATTTCCAGCTAAAAAAAAATTAGAGAAGATTATAACAAACATAGTCACCATGATGAAGCAAATCTCATATCACGACAGCTACTAACTTGCTGATAGTGACGGGCACAAATCGTATGATGATGAGACAGTAAATGACTCATTTTAGTGTACTTCCATTTTTCTACATAATTTGAGCGTTTAAATTATGGTGTTAACAAAGTAATACCTTATTATAGTCTCAATGGAGGAAAGATGCTTTCGTCAACAGGTCATTTTATTACTATTTGGTATAACGAACCTTCCTCCACCCTACAGAGAAGTGTATATTTTTTTATAAATAACCTTCGATGTCTTTTTATAAATTTAACAATAAAAAAAAACAAAAAGCAATAATATGCATTATTAATATAATTCTGATCAATTAATATTCTTTATTTAATACTGTGCTATTGAAATTAAATTAATAATGAGAAAAAATGTTTCAGAATTGTCAAAATACGAGTATTTAAGTCGTTTGATTAAAAAGAAAAAAAAAAACAGATTATTAGACAGAGATTAGATATGCTGCCCATAATATAAAGAATCTAAAATACACTAAAAGTTTTTGTCCTGAGTAAATTATTCAAACTATTGCTTAAGATTTCTTATAAATAATTTTACAATATAATTAAACGAAAAAAACAAATTACTCAAATCTAACAAACTTATATTACTTGAAATAAATTATTTAAAAAAATGGTGTTTATGATATTAAAATACGAATTAATCTACTATTAAATATTTATTCTACGTATTCAACTTTAAATATATTTAAGAAAGCTATTATCGTAAATTTGAGAGCTTCTTAGTTGAAATTAATTTTATTTCGTAAAAATATAATGTGATCGTTTTATATGGATGTCATTTAGGGGATTTCATTGTAAGTATATACCAATAATAAAAATTTAACATTTTACGTGATTTCATACGTTCAGGCCTTAATACAGGGTAAGGGAGAGTTAGGAAATTGCCTAGAGCTGTAAAAATGAGGTCGGCAAAATAGCTCTGGCGAAAAAATCCGAGCCTGCATTCCGGCTATCCCGCGCGCAACCGTGTTGCATGTTATGTCTTTTTGCTCGTTGTTAGTGTATATTGAAGTATATTCTAAGAAATCTGTCAAGGGTGGCAAATATTGTTTGCTCGGGGTGGTGAAATAGCAACTCCTGAAATGTGAAAATGTATATAAGATATATAAAAATAAAGAAATGTATATAATGATTCGCTTGATCGATTTTGATAAAGAATGATCAGCTTTTAAGTTAGACTATATTGGATAATAAAAAATTGTTGAAATATTTTTTTTATTTTAATATTTATTAAATGTCAAAATTAATTTTGATTTTCATGGAAATTGAGTACATCTAATAATGAGTACTAGTTAATTTTTGTGGAAATCAATGTAGAAAAAGGCTATTTTACCATTACATTTATACGAGTATTAATCTTTACTAATAATACGAATATAAATGTTACAGTGAGTCTGTTTGTCTGATACCTTATAGTGTCGTAACGATTTAGCCAATTACTATGTAATTTGGTGTACACAAACTGTATAGAATAGAGAGTGATATAGGCTATTTTTTATCCCAGACAGTAAACATATCCCAGTCATGTGAATGAAGTTGCGGGTAAAATCTAGTGAGTACATAGCCTTGTAAACAAATCCACATATCTACTTTTTCCGCCAATATAATCATAGAATACTAGGGTCGATTGAAAACTCAGATTAGTGCGCCCTTATTTATTAATATCTTTTTATAAATTTATTCATATACGAGTAGCTCGATTACTGTTCTGTGTTGCATAAAAAATATTTCTATTTCGCTTAAGTTGGCTAAGTTAATATACATAGCTTTATTTAGTTAAACAATACATACCTCCACATTTTTTTTTAAAGATATAAACTATTATTTATTTATCATATTTAAAAGATCATTTTGGTTTTATTAGATCATTACTCATGCTCATATTCACAACTGTTAGTACTATCACCCCACATCGCAAAGAGGGTGGCCAGAACCGTTGGTGTTGAGTTACCCACGAAGTTTACGGTATCAAGTTCGATTCCAGGTAGTAGCTACCTATGTATACTTCGCACAAGCAGTGACCAGCTGTTGTTTAACAAAAATGTTTATAAATTAATGTAGTATTTATACTTAAATTATTTCAGCTTCTGCTACTTTTAAAAAGTATGACGTGATTGTTATTGCGTACGAATACTATCATCCTTGCTAATAATATTAAAAAAAAACCGTTTTAGTGCCTTAATAGCTTAATCAATACAGGTGATGGATAGATCTTTTTTTATCAGGTGGATCGTTAGCTTGCTTACCAATTCAAATCGTATAATAAAATATTATTTTGTATTACATAATTATTGATTTGAGCATGTAAATTCACAACTTGAAAAGGCTGATTACTATTTATTTTATTACCTACATTTTAGGACAAATAAATAATTATATAAATACGAGTATATATATAATATATTGTTTTAGGATTTCAATTTTTAGACACATATTCTGTTTGTTAATTATTTTCAAAATATATTTTATGCTATATTAAAATAGATATAGGTACAGATAATTATGACTTCTTATAATCGAATATTTATTCCAATACATTATAGATATTTAGATACAGCATTGAGTGTTAAAAACGGTGCAAAACTGGCCAAGCAAATTGTTATTGTTCTTCCTATTGTACGAATATCTAAAAGTACACATTTAATAAAATAATAAAAATAAAATATTAAATTGACAATTTGTCTGATAAAGAAACGTAATAATTGCAAGAAACAATATAATTTACACTTCTGAAAAGCGCATCATATTTAAAAAAAGGAAGTTGGGCCTTCTTGTCGATGTAGTTCTAAGGTGATACTCTATTAACGACGTGTAATTATAAGTATTAGAAATAACATTGATCTTGTCTGCTAAACCTCAATTTGCCGAGGTCGTTGCAACCGCAAATACAAAAATCCAACGAACAAACGGACTCGACTAAAATAGGTGACTACTCATATTACCTGTCTGTCACATAAACCTAACCTTCATCATTCTTCATCACCTTATCTGTTCACAACACCAATATTATTTAGCCCCCGTCAAAGAGAAATAACAAGTCGTTATTAGGTCTTTTTGAACTGGCGGAATAGTGCGGTTTTTGAAACGTCACTACGATGCTGCGGTTGCGACCAGTTAGCCGAGGATACGCTTACAACTGCATTTTTGGGATAGTTTGGTATAATGTTGCCGTATTCTATGTTTGTTTGTGGTTTGCTCTTGATATTTATTAGTCAAACTGGTATCTATTCATATTAGAGAAATAGTATTTTCTAGGTAGCTTGAAATGGCAGTCATTCTGATGGAATAAATATTTTTTATAGATTTTTACAGACTTATGCCGCATATTTTTTTAAAGCTAAGTATTACATAGAATAATGTTTCAAAAATATTTCTTACTTATAATAGGTTGAAAAAATACGTTTCGGCTCTAGCCGAATTAATTTCGATAAATTAATTAATGAATTTCCGTTTACCGAATTAAAAATATTTTCAAATATCTCAATTATTAGTTCAAAACTGAGCAACTACGATATTTATTAAATAAATTGAGCTACTTACAAAACATGTGACTTTTTAAAGGTTAACTTTTTTATGAAGGGGTTAGTCTATTTCTGTAAAATGTCCAGGCAACACGCACGAGTGAAAATTGTCGATGCGCAGAATATTCTAGTAATTCAAACAATAATTTTTTTATCATTCTATTTAATTCATAAATACTTAGAATTTGTGTCTATTGGTTATTTATAAATACCGTTAACACGTAATTAGGGTGATATAGAAAAGTTCTTCTAGATTACAGTTGTTGGGTCTCTGGCGGTGTCCCGGTAGACTTCAAAGCGGGAACCTGCGTCACCGTCGCTATTATGAGACGGGAGGTATATCGTCTCGTCAGGTTATTTAGCCGGTAGGAGTCCGGCAGTACCTACACGGTCCCTAAGCTGCGTGGGTCTGCATGATGCATTTTTTTTATACGTAAAAAAAAGGATTACAGTTGTTACTATTTATTCTTTTATGTTTGGTAATGGAGTAAGTATACAATGTGTCACCACTCTTGTCATCTATGGGATCTTATTAGAGATGTTAGATAGTTAGATATAAAACTTGAAACAATAGATTAATGGAGAGAAATATTCAATGTAATGTATGCTTTGTAATTTTTTTTTTATATAAACCGTAAAAAAGGCTCCGCAGATATCATATCATTTCTAAACATCAAGAAATACACTATTATGTTCAAGGTTACGTTTTGTTATTTTGGAGAATTTAGATGTTATTGCCTTTGTGTCCAGTAATTTTCCTTCAAACAGAAATACGGTCATACAAACATATTTATTTAACGGAACAAAAAAAAAATGGTAGTTTATGTATTTAAGGCAATAAATTGTTTGTATAAAGATCCTTTCGGTTGATAAGTACGTATAATGATAATATAAGAATGTTTTAGACAAGCCTCTGTGGTTTTTGGTATGTCTGTTTATTATTATGGCTTTATAATGAGAATGAATAAATAAAAAAATAGATATATACGATAGATTCGTAGCCAACCTGCCGAGTATTTTGGAGACGCAGCCGTTGGAGACCTGGAGTATCCGGCTGATGTCGCACGGCCGGGCCCCCGAGTGCGCCAGCTCCACGATCTTCTGCCGCGTGGAGTCCGGCAGCGGCCGCCCTCCTACAAACACCCCGCCGAGCTGGTTAACACCGCTGTGACCTGTCGCATCATAAGTCTGCTTACTCCAATTAATCACGTCATACCTTCACGGTAGTAGACTTAGGTAATGCAACAGGTTGTGTAAACTTGTATTACAAGTACTAAATGCATTGAACCGGTCGTGATAACGTCTTTATTGTCAAATGCATAGACAAAATGTAACATCATCATACTTCTCAATCTACTCAGGCGCTGCGCAAATGCTGTTTGCTTTTGCGTAGTGCCTAAGGTCTTGTGTCGGACGTCAGCCACTAGGAAAATAGTAATGGATATTTGTTTTCTTACAACATTAAATTAATCTTTGAAAGTAACTAAAAACACATGTAAAGTTTATGTTTTTTAATTGTCTTAAGGTTATATTTTTTAGACTACATTACATAAAAATGTTTCGTATAAAAGGCTGAATTAATGCTATTATATATAGTTTTATCTTCCGGTCAACCTTTGGAAAAATAGAAACGTAGTTGTGCGGTAAAAAATATTGAAAATTTGTATTGGGTAAATTGGATAAAAATGATTTAAGATTGTGTTCAATAATAAAAAAAAAAAAACTACTTTAGTTGTGGCAAAACCAGTTATTTTGATTTAAAAACTAAATTACCAAAATGGTTTTGATAAAGTTACTATGGAACACATCTGTAAGCATATCCTTTCAGATAAAATAATTTAGTTAAAAAAATTATAACAGAACTAATATTAACTAATAACCCCACTATTCTCATTTAGATCAAGTAGATTTTGTTCTATAAAAAACACAGACTTTAATCGTAACAAAATAAGATATATTGATTAGAAAATTGAACTTTTGAACTGATTTTTATAAAATTTCTATGAGAACAATTTGAAAGTATATCTTTTTGAATAAAAAATAAGATATTTTTATTATTATTTTTATTTTGAATAAATAATAAGAATTATCCAAGTCAGATTATAACTGATGGAGTTATGAGATAATAAACATAAAAAAAGTACAACCGAATTGGGAATCACCTTCTTTTTAAAGTCGGTTGATGTAATGGTCTTTAGTTACTTGACTGAACTTATCATTTGACACAAGACAAGATGCTACAATGCTTGCATTTGCGTTGCGTCTTGACGTATGTAGATATTTTATTTAATTTACTCTTAAGGTTATTATGAGTTTAAAAAAACATTTTACTCCATATAAAATACTAGCGACACGCCCCGGCTTCGCACGGGTAACAGGAATATAATATATAGCCTATATTACTCAATAATAATGTAGCTTACTATAGGTGAAAGAAATTTTCAAATCGATTAAGCAATTTAAGGATATATTCATTATAAACAGACATACAAAAATCAAGTCTTTCCTCTTTTGATATTATTTATTTTTCTATCTTCAATATATGCTGTGTTTGCCTATAAAAAATGTTACACTTAGTTCTACGCTCCACAATTGTATAAATATTTACATTATTTTGTGGAAACAATTGTTGGTGAACCTAAATAAATAAATAAATAAAAATCTTTTATTATTTGTGTATATAAAAAGTAATTTTTTTTACTACTGTCAATAAATATGATACCTAGTAAAAAAAAAAGTAAAATGCGGTCAATTATTTCCCGCCAGTATTGCATGCAACGTCGAGTTTAATTCATTATAGTTGTTTGGACTTAGACTGTACTTATAAAAAAATGGCCCAAGTTCTTTTGACATAACTTAAAAATAAAATACAATGTTACTTATATAAAATGGTTGTAAATGGACGATTGTAAATCGCTATGTGTGGTCCCGGCATAGAATGGATCACCCCTTCTTTTCCCGTAGGTGTTGTAAGAGGGACTTAGGGAGAGCGAGAGAAGGGCAACAGCTTTCCTCTTAAAAAGTCTAACTGGGGTTGCCAACTCGCCTGTCAAGCGTGCCAACTACGGGCAACACTTTCCTTATGGGTAAGGCTTATGCCCAGCAATGGACAGTTAACGACTGAAATAGTAATAAATAAAAAAATGGACGGTGTCTGTGACGTGAGAGATATTTAAAGAGAAATATAATGTAAAAGGTTATAATAGAAACTATAGAAGCCAAAACAATACTTTTTAAAAATTTTGTCTATCTGTCTGTCTGTATATTTCTTTTGGTATCACGCAGTTTTTTGGTTTTTAAACTCGCTTTTTATATTAACCAGATTGTAAATTACTTACATTTTAAAACAATATGTAACTGACATATATAAAATAGTTGTAGATTTTTCTTCTTTTCTATTACACAGAGAAATATTTTTTATTTCAAATATATTGAGATTTTATCTACAAATCAACAAAATTACTTTTTATTTTCTCAGTATTTGGAATGAATACAAAATTAGAATGTTTTCTGTGCCTTTTGTACATTCTTGTCCATGTTAGGAGATATTTACGGTCTCAATGAAGTTAATTATTGACGAACTGTTCATTAAGAACCCACTAACGTCCCACTGCTGGGAACGAAAATCTCCACTTTTCCCTATATCAGAATTATATAATCAAATATTTCTACGATTGCTAGGAGGCTTAGTATAAAGGTTTGCCTCTTCTCTTGGATAGTTATATTGTACTTTATTTTATTCTTAGATATCTCTTTATCCTTGGGGATGAAAAAGATTAGTAACCTATTGTATTATTATTTCTTTACAAAAAAAAATATAATTAAAATAATCTTAAATAGGTAATGAAAAATATTTAAGAAGAGGAATGGGTTTTTGAGTAACTTAGTATCAGCATAATTCAAATAAAATACATTGTGTCAGTTTCTTCTACTTAAAAGACCATTCACACAGCTCCGAGTTAAGAGCATCTAAAATTCTGACTCATTACTTTGTTACGTCAAGTGCACGTCAGTATTAATTTTAATCGAGTTCTTCGTTTTAATATTATATTATTAATATTATCGATATTTTAACTGCAATATATAGCTATTGGTACATAATATCCATATATTGTAGAATATACTGGTAGGTAATACTCTAACTAAAGGTCAGAGTATGCTCTGAGATACGAGTATTAAATCTGAATGCAGTTTATATAAAACTGTGTGTGTGTGTGTGGGTGACTGGAATATAATTTTCTTATTTTAATCATATTTCTATAATAGTAACTAATGGAATATTTTTTCATATTTTTATAATATATCTTTGTGAATAAGTTAATATTAAATTTAATCAAACAATTTTCTTCCATCTCCCTGATGAGTACTGGGGAATCTCAATTCAGAACTGTGTGAATGACACTTTCTTGTATACCAAATAGTGTGTTAGTATGAAATAATAAAAAATGGCGGTCACCATTACCTTTACCTTTGTGTGCCAGGTCATCCATGCGGTCCAGCAGGTTGGTGTCAGGGGGCCAGGGGCTGATCGGCGCGAGCTGCTGCGCCGGCAGCATCGTGTATACGCCGTATTCTTCTATTGTGCCGACCTGAACAATTATATATATTATAAGGATTTTATTAAGAGTATTTACTAGAATTTCTAGAGGATAGATTTGTCTGCTTTGGTACCTGTTGCCCATTTGTATTTCTACTAGTAAGTAGTTGTGCTTTCATGGTTTTATTTCGTTTTAAAAATAAGATATAGCAGTGATAATTATAAAGTATGAAGGGATAAAACATTAGTTTCAGTTTAGGAACGGCAACGCATGAGCACGGCATTACAGTGTATTTTAAGATATACATGATGCTGTACATACCTATAAGCAACGGTCATATCTTTCAATGATTAAAAATACAATAGTTCATCACTTAATTTTTTCTCAGGATGTCGTATGAAATGACTAAGGAAACACAGTACACTACACCAGTGCAAGAGAAGGGAAACTCAAAATAAATGTCTCTATTAAATAGATAGGCAAATGCGGTAATGCTAACCTAGTATCGCCCTTATAATTGGAAAGAAAGATGTTTTTTTAATGGGGAAAGTAATGGGATAAGAAGTGTGGTGTCTATAAAGGTGTTAATGGGTGTTATGATATAGGTAAGGTATATTATGGTTTATTTATAATTTTGTCTCACTGCTAAAAAAAGGACGGTAATATTTTTCGGTGAGTGTATGTAGACTTGAATGTTAAACTTGAAGGATTTTTATTAAAGGTATGTTGTTACATTAGTCTTAATTTTTGAAGTGCTGCGCGACATCATAAAATGACAAAAACATATTTCCCAGGCAAATTTTCTATGACATAGCAAGACGAAGGATGAAAAATGTTATCTAAGCCTAACTGATGTTGCCAATCCACCTGCCAAGCGTTATAGGAAAGGCCTATGTTCAACAGTGGACAGTTCACATAAAAGAAAAAAACTTTTATATGTAAATTTTTCCACGTAAACAATGTAACATGTATAGTAGTTTCTTATTCTTTCCAATATTATAAATGTAAAAGTAATATTGTTTGTTTGTTAGCACTTAGTAATGGCTTAGCCAATCGTTATAAAATTTTATATACATGTATTATAAATAATGCTAAAGGGCTACATTTAAATTCAGTCAATAATCATATTCCGGTTACGCGGATGAAATCGCAGGCAAAAAGAATATTTAAAATTGCATAATTTAAGATTTATTTTCTAAAAATTATAATTATTTGTAGGTGACCATTCATGATACGCAGTTACCACTTTTCATAAGGATTGTTTATTTGTTTGCCATTTAAAGCTGCAAAAAAATATTTTACTAAAATCATAATGCATTTGCTGTGTTGATATGTGTGTATATATCTATTCTCTAATATGTATGAGAGAGAGAAAGGCGCATGCAATCATATCTATGTTTACTCTTAAGCCAATTTTTATTTGCATTAGTAATATTTGTTATCGAAAATTGAATTGCAACGATGCATTCAATTTTCGTAATCACAAATTAAATTTATCGACATCTATTGGTTAACATGTTTCAGAACTTCCATTTTTCCATTGATATACGATTGAAAATATGTTTTCTATTTATATTTTTTTGTGTGAATTGTGAAGTTTATTATGATATGTCCGAAGATTTGATAACGGAACTGTATTCTAAATATAAAGAAGCTGTGGCAGATGGTAATTGACCAAATTATAAGGGATATTCAGTTGTTAAGTTGAAAACAATTAAATCTTTATTCGCTCCTATATTTCGATTTTTGTGGAAAAGACTAAGAGCATTATTTACTTGCTTAACTGCATTAGTTAAGAATTTTACATTGTTTTTGACAAATATTACTTACATTGTAGGTACTTTTAACAGAAACCTATTTGGTATTATGTTAGTCATTGTATTTTGTTATATTGTAAGCTATTTCAATTCATATACTACATATACTTAAGTTATATATATATATATATATATATATATATATATATATATATATATATATATATATATATATATATATACTACTTATCAAGCAATCCGCGTTATTGTATAGGTTAGATTGCATAACTCACGATTTCCTATTGACATTAGATTGAAAACTTGAGAACGTCTCATAGGTATATATGTTATGTGTGAATTTTAAAGTATACTGTATTGGACCACATAATTTATTACCAAGTGTACTTACTTCCAAGTAATAAATTTAGTTCGTGTAATTAAAAAATTTTTGCTAATCCTCCAATTTTTGTTCAGTGGGAATTGTTAAAATAATTTTATTATAATTTTTTAGTTACTCAGTTGCTTCTCCACCAATTTTGTACGTTGATTTTATATTGTACCGTGAATATTACATATCATACATATAAAGTTGATGGTACTATTTATACCCATAACTGATTCTATAATTTTCTCTCAGATGGGTCGTTAAATAGTTTGAGATTCTAAGTAGAAATTGGAATTGACGAACTTGATAAATTAGAAAAATAGTTACATCATTATTTTTGGAGCAACATATTTTTATACAAATTTTAAAATTATTATAATTTATTTACCTACGGTCAACATAATTTTCTATATTAATTTTCGAGTAAAAGAGGTAAGTTTTCCTCTTGTCACGTTTGGTTTTAATATTCTCGGCAGAATGTGAACACGTTGAGCGTTACATAAATCACCATTTAACAGGATAAATCAAACTGTAATACGCTAATCTCTATTACGTTTAATAATATTGTGTCTACTGTGTCTTGGTATTTTGCTAACGACCCTGTGACTCATATTAACTGCATTATACGATATCAATTCGATTCTGAGTGAAACTAAGTTTCTTACCAGTTTTTTATGGTTGAAACAATTCCTTATACTGGTAAAAAGAACAAATAAAAACAAAATACATTTTGTTTTGATTTTCATGTTGCTGGCAAATTGGCCAGCTGGTCCTTTTTATATATTAATTTATATCTTTGTATTTGATTTATTCATACTATTTTAGATATATGTTTTATTTTGATACCTTTTTTCTGTGTTAGTTCAAATATACAGTTTTAGGTGACACATATTAGGTATTATTGTTCACCAATCACAGTTCATGAGAATATTATTTTTATAAAATGTTATTTATTATTTCAGATGACAGTTCTCCTTCATTGCGGCGTTTGTTTAAACATAATAAAGAATATAATATCCATGTCAATAAATTAAAAGAAGTTAACGGATATAAAAAGCATAATCTGATAATTAGACAACAGGATAATTCAAGAGCAAATCCCATAATTTACATAAACAATCCCGTTGAGTCTAAAATACCGAATGCTTATTTAACTTTAGAAGAATTCAAGAAAGTATTAGTGAATAGAGTAAAGCCAAAAATCAGAGATGAATTAGATATAGTTACTAAAATGACTAAAAAATATGAAAATTCTTCAAACAGAACTAGTGTTAGAAATATTACTAATAAAATTCCTGGTAAGTTAAGTAATGATAACCTAACTACTGAGAATACGAGGACAGATATTGTAACAAAAACACATAAAATATATGAAAATGTTACATTACCCACTAAAAATTATATGACTACACAACAAAATGATGAAACTACAGTAATAAATACAAAAATCAGAGAACAGAATGATAATATAAAATTTGAGGAACTTACTAATATTACAGTTGAAAATAGGAGTGATACTACATTTAAAACAACCGAAAGTATTAACAAATCTATTGAAAAAAATTTCAATAATGAAGATAATGAAGCAAAGGGGCTTAGCGAAGAAGAAAATTATGAAGAATCAAGCGTAGATCAAGAAATAACAACATTTTTAACAACAAAGTCTACAACAGTCAAAACGACATTAGGGGTGAGTATATGATTTAATAAGGCTTTAATATATTAAGTAATAGTGGAATAAAAAATATTTGTAAAGTTACCAGTGAAATATCAAATGATGTGTTAATATTTAAAGTATGTATTACGTTTTTTAAAAAATGAGAATAAAATAAATTATAAAAATCTACGAACTACGACGGATTTCTATAATGCGGTTTGCTTAATAATTTAAACTATAATTAATTTATAATTTAATAATAATAATAATAATTAAATAATATCATTTGTACTTAATTTATAACTAATGTAATTACTTTATTGTTTTTCCAGAGGCCATTAGTGTTCATGGGAGGCTACAACTAAGCTTTTGTGTATTAAGTAATTAATATTATTTAATTGCCTATTTTAATTTATTATATAAATACAAATTTAGTAACTAAATTATAAATACTGTAATTATTTTGTTTTTCCTCTGTTATTTTCTTGAATTTGATTTTGTCTTAATTTAATTTAATGTTAAATATAATTGTGAATGTTTATTAGCGTTTTTCTGTAGTTATTAAATATGTTATATATGTTTCACCAGAGGGAGACTTTGTACAAAAGTCGATTGCTTGGGTACCTCTGTCCCATTCGTGCTTCAACCGTGAAGCAGTTGTGTTTGCATGGCTGTGTTTCGGTTTGAAGGGTGGGATATGGCGTGAATTTACTGGGTACAGAGGAATAACACCTGAGTCCTCAGGAATGGCAACGCACGGGGGTATCATGGGCGAAACAGTATACTCTGTTATGTCCATGGTACTGCTCATGTCTATAGGCGACGGTTACCACTTTCCATCAGGTGGGCCGTCAGCTTGTTTGCCATTCTAAGTTGTATAAAAAAAATGTAATATTTGACACAAAGCATTGTATAAACTACTTATTCTGATCAATAAATAAAAAAAAAATATTATAAGTACATGTAGTAACTTAGTATCTATTATAAAAAAGTACTTACGGCAAATCGACCTAATACTAAACTCAGTGTATTTATACATGACTTTCCTTTTTTGGCAGTTGGGTAAAAATAGTTTAAAAGACAAGCATTGAATTAATTTCATAGTCGACTTACTTTCATTGTTTATCTTAATGTCCAATTTTTCAATTATACGATTAGGTAATTTTCGGACTGGATATAAAAGATTTCAACGGGTTTGAGTTACGTACAATTTAAATTGTATAAATTTGTGGGATCCTGTGGTTTACATAAATTGTAATTGGTTACAAGACATTACAAGGAGGGTGTGAGGCCCTCTTTGACCTGAGCTAGCTATCTGTTATTAGCTTTCTAGTTCTTAACCTACGAACCATTGAGTAACGATATCCAGAGAACTGCTTATAGTTAAATGAGAACAGTTTTTATTTTTTACTACTAGTAGTTTTTAAATTTAAACTATATATAGTTTATGAGATTTCGTTAACTCGCCGCAGTCCCAGGTTATTTACGATGTTTATTATTACCAGAGAAATGGTAGCAGATTATAATATGCAAAGTTAGCACTGAAGTCTATTTTTAGTTAGGGTAAAAACTATGTATCTAACCCGCTAAACCCTGTCAATGCTAAACATTTTTTTTAAAAACATTTAAGTTTGTGTTCTAAAAAAAAATCGACTTTAGCTGTGGCAAAACCAGTGTTTTAATTTCAAAATTAAACTTCTGACTCGATTTTTTTTTAATTTCTGTGGAATCAGTCTGTGAGTATACTATATTTAAATATTCTTTATATGTGTTTTAATATTGTTTTCAAATCGTCAGTAAGTATGCGTAATTTTTATATACTGAGAGTTTTTCTCTCTCTATTTACCTATGATTTTTTTGATTATATATCTATTTACCCGCTATTTAATTATTGTTTTAGTTATTAGAACATGAGGCTAAATAAGTTCTTACACAATAAATAGTTTAACACTTAAACTCACCTTATGTTACTGCAAAATAAAATATCCAAGTTATTGCCTAGGCAATAACTGTGACAATCTTCAACTGGTTTCTTCTGACATCACTTTATCTTTTCTTCGGCCTACTAAAAAGTTCACTATAAACTTTGGCTGTCTAATCGATTTCCTTGTACTTTGCGTGCTTTAAAACATGTAAATGCTAATTCCCGCCAAACGAAACGTCAAATGTCAAACGCGCGAACATTGTGCCTGTGCTTCTGAATAAAGGCGCCACTTCACTGATTACAAAACACAATCTCACGTGGAACTGTACAGCTCGTGTACACCCCTATAGCTATAACTTGGACTCTATTTGTGCACAGCGAACAGAAAGAGACGGCAATAGAGACGAGTGTCAATTCCTATTGTAAACCGCTTACGTTATTCGGGACTGCTCATTTGAGCGACAGAGACGCATAGCTTTTCATTAAGTTCTCTTAATCTGTGCACCGCCCATTTCTCATTTAACCCCCCCAGTGGTGGGGTGAACTTGGACAGTTTTAAATTATCTATTATAATAAAATTATTTCGCGAAATAAGGGGTTGGTTATGGTAATGATGTGTTTAATTTATGTCGATATCTTATCGGTGAGCGGCACGACAATCATGACAGTCGGTTGTTGCTAATACAAGACTTCTCGTTTTGATATGCAAACAACGCTTTGTTTAATAAAATTAACTTTATTTTATATTAAAAATCTTACTTTACTTACTAATATTATTAAATTGTAACTAAATAATGTCTGTACATAGGAGATATTTAAGAAAATATAATATCGTACCAGTAAATGCCAAAACGTAAATTTTTAGAATTTGTATCTCTCTATATTTCTCTTTTTATACTGTGATATTGTGCAAAAACTACTGTACCCAATTGGATAAAATTATTACAGTTGTATTTCAGAAGGCCTAACTTAAAATCTGGCATGTTTTATTTTAATACTTACATACATAATTAAAATAGAAGGCAAAAAGCTAGTGTGTAATATAATTCTAGAGTATTATAATTTATATTTAAATGTTAAAAGTTTAAAAGAAAAACCAAAATCCGTATCATACGGAAAGATTAAATAAGAATTATATAAAAATGCTTATAATAAATAATAGGTTAGTAGTTAGTAATTATAATAAATGAAAGAATTTGGGAACTATTCGAATATTTTAGGATGTACCTAAACAGGTGAGCAAAAATATCTTAAGTCAATTAAATATTACAAAAACTACAACGGCGCTTCTCCAAAGATAAAAATTCTCTTTCATCGTACATACAGACAGAAAGTAATGAGAACAAGCTATTAGTATTTAGGGGCTTGTATTACAACCCTTTAATGATAATGTGGTCTCTTTCCTTCTGGCGTAAAAAGCCTCTGATGACGATTTTCTGTCTCTTTTCTTAACAGACTTGTCACATTATTTCTAGATATAAAACTCGTTTTTACCAATGGAATCTCTACTTTGGGTTTCTAGCATTACGGTTTGTTTTCTTTCAATATACTTTCTTTCTTGTCTTCTTTCAATAGACTTAAGTTTCTGTCAACGTTTGCGGTCGAGTTTCGTGGTTAATCTCCCCCGCACAAAATTGTTAGTCACACAAACATTATCTTTGGCCAATGGTACGTAACCGCTAGCCATTTCTAACCAATCAAAAATCTTAAAATTTCAATTTCCCGCGCTTTTGATTTCAAATATTTATATTTTGTTCCATTTTTAAATCGTAACATTGTAACAGTCCTTTTTGTGCACCTGCTGAGAAACATTGCTATTGTGTTTTTCTTTTTTTTTTAATTGTACCTCCACAAATGAGTTTTTATAACTTTTATTTCTTTTAATATACTTAAATAAACAAACTTGGCTCATAAAAGCCCTTTATCTACTATAATGTCTTTAAAATGTAGTTCTATTTCTTATTTACTATTTTTCTACGTTTTAATATCTTTTATCATCATATCATATCAGATCTTACTGTTTACTACCCATATGAGAAGTTTTGTCATTAGTTGTCACGTTTGGTAGGCGGGTTAACAACCGTAGTCAGGCTTTTGGATATGTTTTGAGAGGGACGCTGCTGCCTATCTCTCGACCATTAATTTATTTTAGTCGCCTCTTATGACATGCACAGGAACGGAAGGGATAGCCTATTCTATTCTAGGACCACACAGCTACATTTTTTATATTAAGATTTAATATTACATTCTTTTATTTGAATACTAGCGACCCGTCCCGGCTTCGCACGGGTGTACACTACATCTCATCACATTAGAAATCTCTAAAATTATCAGTGTTTCTCTACTTTATCATACATATAAACCTTCCTCTTGAATCAATCTATCTATTAAAAAAACGCATCAAAATCCGTTGTGTAGTTTTAAGGATTTAAGCATACATATGAACGGACAGACAGCGACAGCGACTTTATTTTATATGATGTACCTAGTGATATTCTTAAATAGTAGATTTAAGATTTTGTTTCATTCTTTTTTTGCAAAAAAAGATGACTTTTATAAATTTACTATTAGACATCCTGGAAGGCTTAAGCTACCAAATATAAAAACACGTCTATATCATAGTAACAGTTACTCATCCATCGTGTATAAGAATTTACAATAAACTACCAAATTCGCTTACTGATCTGTGTTTGAAAAGGTTTAAAATCATATTATGTAAATGGTTAATTACAAAGTGTTTCTATACATTGAAAGATTATTTTTCAAGTACAATGAACGACATTATATAATTCAATTTTGAATGTAGAGTACTGTATTACCTGTAAATGTATGATTAAACGTAAAAGGAGTGAAAAATAATGACATGCATGACTTTAGTAATGTAACTTGTAATTAATAGTGATTGTTAATAATACATATAAAAATGTTGCACGCCAAGCTGGCTGAATGTTAAGGTTACACAAAATGTATAATAATACCTAACTTTACCACATTCATCTCAATAAATTTCATTTAATTTTATTTCAAATTCCAAACTCGACAGTGTGTAAACAGATGATGATACTGCCTATGTTTAAAGAAGAATGTTATTACTTTTTATAAGGCTTATTTGTCACTTAGTTTATGTAAAAAAAAGTTATACATGCTCTTCTTATATCAATAAAAAAATATTGTTGAAATGAAACTATAATGAGCGTATGAACGCCTCATTAAACCACATTGAAGGTAAAACAACGCGCCAAGTGGAATCTGCTTTCGTCAAAGTGGATTGCTTACCTACACGTCCTCTTTAATGCTCAATTTGGTGAAGAACCTAACTACATTTCGGCTTATAGAAGTATGGAAAGGGCTTCCTTTTATATTCGACTAGATTACATGGCTATATCATAAAATACTCAATAGTTGCACATTACATATAATAAGTGTCTATGCTATGTATAGCCTCAGGTACTCGGCCTAATTCGATAGCTCTGTATTTGGAAACTTTGTATAAATATTAGTAAATCTATACCTAAAATACAATTAAAAAAATACCATGATTTTTATTTTAATGGTAAAATTCCCTATTAAAAGTTATCATAAATAATGTTGTATCTATTTTGTATAAAGTCGCCTGCATAGTACACGTCCATGTTACTTATTATTGTTAGAGTTTAGTTCATCAAATAGCAAATATTGAGATATGGTACCTACTTAAATTACTAAGTAACGCTGTGACTGATCATCTTCATATTATAAGGAACAGTAATCCGCAAGTGATGTAGTTATGCTGGTATTACAAACGTTTCGTTTCTCGATTTATGTGGTAGGGTAATTATTTATTTTCTTTTTACTAGATATCTGCAATTATACGATATATTGTCTAAGTATATTGTCATCAGGGTTTGAATTTATATTTTAGTTATAATATCTATATACCTGATTCAATAACAAATATATTTAAAGTCTGTTGTCATCAAAAATAATATTGGATAACGGACTTTTAACATATTCGAATATAGATATCCGATCAATATGGGCGATATCTAAATGGGTGAAGACCTTTTTTCTACTATCAATGTCCAGAGAAACCCAATACATAGATATTGAATAGATATCCAAATTACTAATGCCTAATTGTGTTGCCGTTAGTTCTAAACAGTTTCTTTTATACCACGCCCAGCTGGTAAAGACCTAAATCATACTGTGTTCTAATAACCAAGAATTGTACGCTTATTTAGAAGGGATGCTGCTGCTTATCCCTTGACCATTAAGTTCCCTTAGTCGCCTCTTACATTACCCAAGGGAAAGGAAGAGGTGGACCGTTCTATGCTGGGAGCACCGTTGGTCAAGCGTGGCAACCATTGTTAAAACTCTTATGGTCTCCCATAAGGGAGTTTTAACAATGGTTTGCACTAGCTATCATTGAGGCTTAAGTTCAACAGCAGACACTTAACGGTTGATATAATAAAAATAATAATAATCGTGTAATAAGTATTACAATAAAAAACATTCAATTTTTTCTCTCTTTCTCTCTCTAATAAAAGAAGAAAATACTGAAGCGGAGTCCATATTAAGCAAGCAGTGGGTGCCCAGCGCAGTGTGTGCGCAATTGCACATCAATAGGACGGGAGTCGGCCGCGGCGCGGCGCGGCGGTCGCGGGGCTCCACACTACCCGGCGATGTTCTGGGTCCCGTTACATCCGTTTACTATTTGTAACAACTGTAATAAACTAATACGTAAGGATGTCGCTTTATAGCGTTAAGAGTTTCTAAACCATAAACGTAGGCCTCTGACCAATGGCGGCGTGACAGGCTAGATCGTTGAATTCACTAAAATATGATTGAGCGCTATGATAGCTGACTTATCCGTCGTACTCGTGAACAGGTACTGCTTGTGGGGACTGGTCTATGCATGTTTGCTTGTTAATTTTCCATGTAATATTAAATTTTACCAGAGGGAGACTTTGTACAAAAGTCGAATGCTTGGGTACCTCTGTCCCATTCGTATTTCAATCGTAAAGCAGTTGTGTCTGCATGGCTGTGTTTCGGTTTGAAGGGTGGGATATGGCGAAATAGTATACTCCATGTATGTCCATGGTACTGCTCATGTCTATAGACGACGGTTACCACTTTCCATCAGGTGGGCCGTCAACTTGTTTGCCATTCTAAGTTGTAAAAAACAAAAGTAATAATACACATAAATAGAACTTTATGTTATTATAATCACAGTTCCCATGCAAATATAAAATTATCTTTTACATATGTAATAATTTGAAAAGAGTAAAGTAGTGAGTTTTTTGCAAGCTCTGCTAAACAGAACATTTCGATTAAACATTTCGAACCCAGCAGAAATACATAATAGAATCATAAAAAAATTACAAATAAAAATAGCTTGTTGAAGTCAATTGGAATAAAGATAATTTCTGTTCTATTCTATTCTAATGGCGGGGCAAGACCTAAATTAAATGTGAGCAAGGTGTAGGGTAGGGCGGGGCTAGAAGTCCCAATTTTCATTACTAGATACATAGATTGTAAAATAGAGTACTTACAGTCAACAAAAGCAGTTGCAAAAACCTTATACAAATTAGCTTTACACTTAAATAATAAAAAGCATGACTATTTATTTGATTTATTAAAAATTTTGAGTTAAAGGCAAGATGGAATTTTGTACTTTTTGCCCCCCTCGCGGGGTAAAAAGTCCCACGCTGGGGGTAAAAAGTCCATTCGTCTTAATGGCTAAGTAGATTGATCAATTAGGGTAAATGAAATAAGATTATTTGAAAATCAATATCTTTTATTTGAAATTAAATATTTTAATAGTTATAATCAAGATAATCTCAAGAATGTTATCAAATAATATAAACTTAGAAAAACAATCAATTAAAGGAAACATAACATAAATTATTCTGTTCAAACAAATAAAAAAGCTAATCTTTTATTATAATATCTGTCATTCTAAATGTCTTAAATTATAATCAACTACTTAAAATCTTTTTAATCTTCATCACTATTGCAATTAACACAAATAAAATTAAAATTTGAACCAATACATACACATCGTTCATGTGCCCAATCTTTGCAGATTGTGCATTGGATCCATTGCTCTCCTGACTTGCTTTTTGTATAAGATTCGCAGCATATAATACAAAAATATTCTTCATCAGAGGAACACGAAGGACTCATTTCTCTCAAAACTTTCTTTTTTACTATATTTTTTTCTTATTTTCTTTAATTGCCTTACTTTTTCTTTTTTTAGACTTCTCTTGTTCTTTTGCTAACTCATTTTTTTCTGGAGAGTCTGTTAATATTGTTGCTTTGCGTCGTTTTCTGGTATTTGAGGTTTTTCGAAGTCCTGCTTTGGGCACAGGTAGAACGGATTCAGGGGAAAATACTTCTTTTGATGTGCAAGGTTGGGGAGATATCTCTCTTGATTGTTGCATAATATTTGATTGATTTATTTGAGTTTGCTCAGGGTCAGTTATTACATTTACTGGTGGTATATTTTCGGTGTTATCAAAAGCACTGATACGATCTGTTACATTGCTTGGCGCATAGTCTGCATCTGTAAATATATCGCGATTAAATGGAATTATACCGGACGCCTTAAATCCCTTGATAATGTTAACTGGCGAGAGAGCGATTGGTAATGCTGTACGAACCAGCGATGGGATATCGTATATTGTCATAGTTTTTCCTGCATTATTTCTCATCCATGAATCCTGAGCTCTAGACAAATGAATCTTGAATGAACCAAATACAGACACATCAAGAGGCTGTAATTTGTGTGTACAGTGGGGAGGGAAAGATAGCATAACTATCCCGTTTTGTTTGGCCAAATCAAGGGTCTTGACACATAAATGTGATGAATGGTTATCAAGTAGGAGAAGAATCGGAGTATCTTTTGAAGGCCTTACATGGCGGATAAAATGCTGAATAAAACAGTAATATTCCTCGTCTGTAACCCACCCACTTGGATTTGCCTTTCCAATACAGTCCGGTGGACCATCACGAACGAAGTGATCGTGATAATTTTTCCTCGGAAAAATAAACATCGGAGGGATATGAGAACCTGTAGCCGAGATTGCTACTATAACGGTGACATTAGTGCCCCTTTCTCCAGATGTAACAGAGCCAACGTTGCGTTTTCCTTTCGCAGCAACAATTTTTGAAGGCTTTAACACAGTCGAAACTCCAGTTTCATCTATATTCCAAACAGAAGAAGCTGTAAATGTATACTTATCCATTACTTGAGCCAGCTTATTAAAAAAATCATGAACATTTGAACGATTGAAGGAAGTCGCTCTACTGAGACTTGTAGCCTCGGGTTTTCGAATAGATAAAGATCGGTTCCTTTTTAAAAAAGCTGTCATCCAGTCTTTTCCTGCCATTTTATTTTTCTGCCAAGAATCAGGTACAGTAATTGCAAATTTAATAGCACAATCATATGCTAAGCGACGTACATCTTTAGGACCCAGGCCATAAAACATTTGAGCAACCATAAGCAGATAATCGCTTAAACTCTTCTCTTGATCTGCAGTAAAAATTTTACGTGTAGGAAGGTATCCAAAAGTTACATTATTTGGTTCCTTATTGTATCGCGCAATAAACCTTTTAAGGGAATTCCTACAGATATTGTGGTCTCTTGCAGCTTGACACAGTTTTTTCTCACCATTAATTACCTCATTTGCAGCCCTCTTCATTATATCTAGTGACATAGTCCCTCTATCTGTCTTTTTCTTGTAATGACGCATTCTAAAACAACAAAAAAGCAATATTATTAAGTATGTTTATTGAAATAAAACATGGGGTAAAAAGTCCTCTCGCGAGGCAAGAAGTCCCATCGACGTACTTCTTGCCCCGTACCTACCTTCAGTGATTTACGCGGTTATAAAACAAAGACGGTTAATATCTAGAAAATATTGTTAGCATGCATTATTTATATATAGAATAACAGTGTAATACGAGCTTACCTTAATAATTTATTAAATTTCAATGCCGATGTAGGAAAAAAAACAAAAACAAAATATTTTTTCACTTTTGAGTGCCAAAAAATTTCGTTAATCGTGTTACTCGCATGTGCGTTTCGTTACGACTGGCGACTCTCGGCTTTGTACTCGCCCCTCACCCCGCTCCAAATCACGTAGATCTTTTGTTTCTAGTGTGCTTCTATAATGAGATACGTATGTTGGGACTTCTTACCCGCCGGACTTTTAGCCCCGCCCTACCCTACATATTGCGCGAAGCTCTTTGTTTAAAAAAAAAACAAATATATGCGTGGCGCGAACTTCTTTAGATCACAAGGCCGTAAGTTGTAGCCCACGTCGCCCACACGTTGTGCCGCCTCTATTTGTGACTACGGCATGAAACAGGTATATTGGAAATATATCACACGCTAGAATCCTTACTATTATGAGATTTTATAGACAAATGTATTAATTAACCACGTGTAAGTCTTAGGTGACGTTAATATATACCTACGGCAAGATACTTATTAGTACTATCTTTAGTAAATTAAAACAAATCTTTTAAAAACTATTTATAATTACTCCTCTCCATCCAAAGGTTACCTGGAATAAATAACTTTTAGCGATAAGGTCTTCCATTGTTTTCTCACTGCGATCATGTTTTGTAATTGTTTGTATCTATAATAAGTTTACTATTTTAATCTTGTAGAGGAAACAATAAAAAGTATATATCTATCGTTTCGTACTTAATCATTCTAGATGTTGGACAAACCTACTATATTTATAAAATACTAGTTCATTAAAATAAATTACGCAGTTAGCGCGCAGTTATGCTTACTATAAAAAACATTTCAACGCCCGAAGCTTATTTTTTATTGAGAATACTTTATTTAAATTATGATAAAATCTAGTATCATTATCCTCAACTAATCCGTAGAACAAAAGACCGCAAAAGTGTAAACCCATTATAACGCTCAACTGAATGGCACGTAGGGCTGTCATTGTAACGTTATTACTTAATATCTTAACTGAATAGTAAAATGGAATATCTGGTTGAAAACCAAGTATTTGTTTTAACTTTTCTGTTTATTCATTTATTAATTGCTCACTCCGGCCAATTCAAGACTTTCAATTGCATGTTGTTGATTACAGTAACTGGCATTTTTTGTGGCTTGCCATGACATGTTATACCTTTGGTTTAGGTATCTATGTACGACATAATCTGTTGATCGCCACATGATATCATAAAATATTTGTTACTTATTTTATGAACAATTTGAAAATAAACAATGTTATAAATTTAAACGTTTTTCTTTTATGTAAGTTACACCATTATCTATTTCAATCTGGACCCAATTTTTATGATTATCCTTTAATTAAAACTAATTGATCTAGTACTCTGTTTCTATACTAACTTTGTCAGGATTGAAACATGTAAGTCAGTGTTAATTTTCAAAACTGCCGATTCTTTTTGATGACAACCCTAATGCCATTGAAGGGATGGTCCTCACAACCGTAATGGGGTACGCACTGAACACACAGATGTCCCCAGTGAACGTTGGGGACAGTCCACCTACCTCGTTACATCCCCTTGCACTAGCTATCATTGAAGTGTTTGTGGTAATCTGTATTAATCACTATTATTTTTGGTCTTGCGGTTTGTAAATATGAAATTGTATATGTAAGTAAACTGAAGTGGCAATGGGCCGGCAACACAGATCAAAGAACCGATAACTGATATCATTATCGGAACGTTTCTTGTCTATGGAAGAAACGTTCCAGAATGATAGCTCAAACAAGTCTGAAGGCTGTGTAGGACTATTTCATACTATTTAAATATATTATCGGGACTCAGCGCGATGAAAAATTTTTGCAGGTAAATAGTACTTACATACCTGCTACTTTATTGTCGACGTTTCCTATTTAAATATGTGTAAATAACACGAAAGTTTATGATCACACTAGATGAAGTGATCACTGAAATGTTTTGCAGGAAGTCAATGGATACTTGTAGCTCAGAACTTTTTCTAATGCTAGTATAGATAGGAGGCCTGAGGGCCTACCATGAAATGTTTTCAGAAATTTTGGAGTCAAATGAAACACAAATTTGATGTTACAATTTAATATAATAATAATACATACATATTGGAAATATTAAAAATGTTAAAATATCGTTCGTTTGGACTTTTATGATAGGATGTATGACGAACGTAATGTTAAACTTCATTTATTGGTTCCATTTTGGTATAAACAAAAACACGAAATTGAGTCCGAAAATTCGGAATTTCATTTCATGGTATACCTGCTGTATACACCATTGAATATTAAACAACTGAAAAGATAATGATGATGACAGTAAGATTTTTGTTTTACAAATATAATTCCATTGTTTATACTAATTCCATTGTTTATATCATTTTTAACAAAGGGAGACTTTGTACAAAAGTCGTTTGCTTAGGTACCTCTGTCCCATTCGTGTTTCAACCGTGAAGCAGTTGTACGAGGTTTGTCCGGAAAGTACGTATAAAAGTTTTTTAAAAATTTTATTTTACAATTATTCAGGTAAATCAATTTTATCCCCTTCAAAGTACTCCCCCTGTGACATAATGCACTTGTGCCAACGCCGTTTCCACTGTGAGAAGGCTCCTTGAAAGTCCTCTGGTTGTAGGTTTCTCAGCTGCCCCGTCGTAGCTTTTTTTATCTCATTTATGTCCCCCAAATGCCGCCCCCGAAGTACCAATTTGGTTTTTGGGAACAAGAAGAAGTCACATGGGGCCAAATCCGGCGAATAGGGGGGGTGTTCGGTCACCGTAATGGAATTTTTACTCAAAAACTCACGGACAACAAGAGATCGATCTTGGCGCAAATTTTTTTCATTTGAAGTTCGTTTCTTAGAATTTCGTGGACCACGGTTTTGCCCAAATTAAGCTCTTCAGCCACCTGTCTGACCGTTAAACGACGGTCCCCATTAACACAAGTTCGAATTCTTTCCACGTTTTCGTCGGAATGTGAAGTGGAAGGACGTCCTGAACGTGGGTCATCTTGAACGCTTTCTCGGCCCTCTCTGAATCTTTTTAGCCACTTGTGGACGGTTGGTTCCTTCACAGCATCATCCCCATAAACTGTTCTGAGATCGGCAAAAATTTCACGGCCATTCTTGCCGAGTTTCGAGAGAAACTTGATTACGACGCGCTGCTCTTCAACGGAAGCGGGCTCCATGCCGACGGGGTTTCGTTAAGAGGTAACTTCACAGATGGCGTGACAAGCCAGTTCGCACCGCACGGCGGTCAGACCAGAACTGAAGCATTGTTAGGGACATAAGGAAGGGGTCCTGCGCTTACCTGGCCTCCCCACTCCTCTTTCTCGCATTCCAGAACACTTTTATACGAACTTTCCGGACAGACCGAGTATTTGCATGGCTGTGTTTCGGTTTGAAGGGTGGCGTGAATTTGCTGGGTACAGAGGAATAACACCTGAGTCCTCAGGAATGGCAACGCATGGGGGGTATCATGGCCAAAACAGTATACTCTGTTATGTCCATGGTACTGCTCATGTCTATAGGCGACGGTTAACACTTTCCATCAGGTGGGCCGTCAGCTTGTTTGCCATTCTAAGTTGTATAAAAAAAAAACTAAACTATTTTTTTTATTAAATTATTTTCCATCAGCTTGTCTGTGATTTAGTTTGCCATTCTAAGTTACTTAATAAATAACATCTAGATTAAAATATGTATACCTATCCCATATCATTATAATCTAGGTGCTATGAAGTAAAAACATTAACATATTTCACTGAAACTATTATGCAAATACACATTTTATCCTAAAACAATGTGGCGTTGCATTAATGCATGTAGAATTATGCCTGTGAAACAGCCAGTGGGCGCACTTCCTACACGGTGCAGTGCGCGGCGCTGCGTGCAATTATAATGCAAATGCCCTCGTTTGCAACATGGCTGCCAGGTTTGTCGCTGTCCCTGTTTTTAATGCTGAATATTTTGCATTAATTATAATCAAAGTTGTATAGAAGTAATAGAATAAAATTTATCTATTTAGGTAAAGAAATCATTATATTTACAATAGGCACGAGTTATGTTGCTTCTACCAGATTCAATCCAATCGATTAATCAATCATTCAATGTTCCACTGCTAGACAAAGGCCTCTCCAACCGTTTCATATTGCACGATCGTTCCTTATTTAAAAACTTATAGAAATCTTTTACGAAAACATACAATATGTTTTTGCAAGTTAAGCTTGGTGCAAAGTTACAATATTACATTATCTCTTCTTTTGAATTAGGTAAATAAAAAAAATACATATAGTAAATATAAAAAATACACCCAAAATGGTTATTTTATTAGGTAGTTAAATAAGTGTGAGAGTTTGGCAGGCTATTCTTACGTTTTAAAGTCAGCGGTAAGCTAGCTCACCGTTGAGTTGGATTCAAATATGCTCAACGAAGTGTGCCAGTGTTAGGTTCACCACAAGTAATAGTATCATTACTATATATTATATTGTGTTACAAAGTAAATAAATAAATCGATAAATATCTGTGATTACCTTATCGTAGGTATATAAATATTGAACTTGTATTTCCACTCGGTCCTCCCAGGAAACCTGATAAACTTTACACAACCGTCTTTATCCTCATAAGTCATCATTCATCGGTACCACTCTAGTATGTACCCATAGCCCAGGTGAGGTTACTATTCCATTTACATCATTAAAAAAAACTTCCAAAATATTTAGAGGTCGTAGGTCGATACTATTTTTATAATATTGGTATTTATTTAGCATTTAATGTTTCAACAGAATAGATTCCGATAAATAAGACTACGTTGTTTACGATAAAGCAGGAATGAAAATTCATAATAATTCAATAGAATAAAAATTTCAGCCCAATAACTGAGAATTAAATGCAATTTCATATTAATCTAGTTCCTCATGCCATCTATGAAAACGAAAACAAACTTAAGCTGTTTCACCACCCGGCAGATGGCAATATAATGTATCAGTGTATTACAGAAAATACAACACAGATGGCAGTAGTATGACACATATCTAAGCAATAGAGGGTTCACTTTCTGCTACTTTTGTACATTTTAGATGTGTAATTTTTTATTAGATGGCGTTATTTTAATATTATGTGATATACTTATTTATGTATTTAGAAAGTAGCTGCTCATCCCGGCTTCGCATAGGACTAATATCAATTAGGAAATTGCAACTAAATCTTCCTTTCTTTAATACAAATTTTTA